AAGATCGTGTGATATCACACCGCTTTCATTTATTTTGCTATGTGAATATGTAAAGTCTGAAGACTATGCGGACAATCGCGGTTCGATTCAGATCTTAGAGCGAAACATCACGCGTGACATTCGCCAGTTACCAGTCGAAATGCTCGAACGAATCAACGTAAATTGGACTCAACGGTTGGGCCAACAGACGCGTAGTCCCGACCAACATTTTAAAGAGATAATCTTCAAAAAATAAAAGCCAAAGAATGTACTTTCGAATGATATTAAACATATCCCATTAAATTTGAATTTATTTGTGTTTTTCCTCTAACAAAGTGGGGGACCTCGAAATGGATATGAATTTTCCAATTTCTCTGATATGGAATATTGGGCGTGTATATGTTTCTCAGTACCAAGTTTAGTTGAAATATCTCAAAAACTGAGGAACTAATACAAAAACAGACGGAGAGAGACAAACTGAACTCTGCTGGTATTTCGCACCACTAGGGTATATACTTCGTGGGCCTATCCCTTCTCCTTCTGATCCAAAGTTAATATATTATTTTGTAAATAGAAACGCACGTCTCAAAGCTCCTCAAATAAAAAGCTTAGTATTCTCGCTGCGGCTCCAGATCTGAATCTAGTCTTTATCTTAATGGTACGAATCTAGAGTCTACCACATGCTGAGCTTGATGCGAGTTGAAGTTCTTTTAATAAGACTAGAACTATGCAATTTATCCCTAGTTCTTATGCGTTCTTTCATTTCATCGCTCCCAGCAACAGGTCTTTTTTACATGACGTATTTTTGGTCAATATATTGGTATAAAATATTTAGAGAAAATTTTGGTGCAGAGAAAATTTCTAAAGTCTATTTCTTGAGCGACGTTAAGCTTCTTATCCGAGACCAAAAAAAGAAGACCGAAGGAAAGTTATTTTAAAAATGCTTTCTTAGAATTTCATAGAAATCATTAAAAAGCGGCCATCCAAATGCACTGGTCTTCAAAATGGACGCAGAAGGTTTTTTTTTCTACATGTCACACTTATTCCTAGAACCATGAAGAACCCTAAACATTTTGTATTGGAAAAGGTAGAACCTCTAAGACACCAAAGGGCTCAGACTCTCTGTGAATCTTACTCTACATCTCACTCACTCTCTCACCATTTCTCTCCTTCTCTCTCTCCTTGTCTCTCTCACACTCCCTCTCACTCTCTATCTCCTTTCCTTTCTATATCTATCTCCATGTCTCTCAAGTTTGTATCCCACCACTACTACGCCATCCTAAAATGACCTTCAATCATTTTTTCTCTTATTAAGCTTTTCTCTACTTTGGAGAACTTCAGTACACTGCCACACAGGTATAGATTAACACCTTTCAAATATATGGCTACAAACAAAGAAACAACAATAACAACAACAACAGCGACAAAGACAATGTAACTTCTTTACATTCATTATAGCAACAACTCTGGCAAATCATTACGACTGAAGAGCTTTTCCACGTCCCTTTACTAATTACATACATACATATTTCCGAAGCGCTACAATGCGCTAGCATACTTATCGATACACATATTGATGTATGTATGTATGCACTTGTGTACATAATTATAACCAGATATGTAGTATATGGAGTATGTACCGTGAAAATTATTTAATTGCTAGAATTTTCTCACATTAGTGAAGTGTTGGCCGTATGTATGTATGTATGTATATATGTATGTCTAATTAATGATGCTGTGGAAGGCGTATGAAATGTAGCAATTAGCATCAGGTCTAAAAACTATCATCCTCCAATCGGCGAGAACATCAGCTTCAACGTAGTTGAATAATGTGTGAGAAGGCTGAATAAAGAGACCCGAGTGAAGCTGTAATCAGGGTGCTGCTTGAAACGCTAGGAAGGTATGTTAAAATTTACTTTACTCCACCTCTGCGAGTTTGGAGCTGCAGTTGGAGTTGGAGCTGAAGTCGAAGCTGGAGCATGAGGTGTAGTTGGAGTTGGAGCTGGAGCTGGAGCTAGAGTCGAGGTCGTAGCGGAGCTGGAGTCGGTGCTGGAGTTGGAGCTGAAGCTACAGTCGGGGTCGTAGCGGAATTGGAGTCGGTGCTGGAACCGGGTGCGGAGTTAAAACCGGAGATGAAGCCGGAGCTGGAGCTGGAGTTGGAGCTCGAGTTAGAGTCGGGTCTATAGCGGAACTGGAGTCGGTGCTGGTGCCGGAGTCGAAGCAGGAGAGGAGGAGTCGCACAGTTCATTGGAATTCTTGAAATTTTAATACCAAAGATATGCTTGTGGAAGAGAAAGAAATCTCGAGTATTTCTCGGCAATATCTCCATTGTCGGTTGTTCCGGAGGTCAAGCATGCTGTTACTGAAGCTAGGTTCAGAGTTCGAGTTAGGGGTAACAACTCAATAGCTCGGTTTAAAAGTGAAAACTTGCTCTGTTTCTGGTGTACATCATGTAAAGAGGTCACGATATCAAAGGTTTTTATACACTGCGAGTAATAGTCGCACCAAGTCAAGGAAATATAAATAAGAAACCATTCTTTGATTCACATTCCAGCGCTTATTTACCGAGAGAGAGAGTGGCGGCATTTCGGACGCGACTTAAAACTTTAGAATTCTCTTCATCAAAGCAGGACAAACAATTCAAACAAGGAGTCTCCGACCATTTAAAACCAAAGCAGAGGAACTGTTTCATAATTAACCGCATCGAATAAGTGTGAATTATCCCGGAGCTCCCATAATATAGTGGGGGGAGAAAGGTTCGCTCGCAATGAAGAATCGTGTCAGCGATTTTTATTTCTCCAGCAATTAATTGATGTCTTCAATTAAAAATGCAATGCACGATGGAACGCATCTCACGTNACACCTACGCCACGAGTGTTTCGTGAAAGTTAAGTCATTTGTAACGTTCTTGTGGCACAACAACAAAAACAACTACCACAAAAACAACAACAACGGCAATGCATCGAAATTATGAATAATTTTTTTCTAATAAAAACACTTAATTGGGAGTATATATTACTCATCAGCACTTCAGTTCTTATATTATAGTATGTGTATGTATGTGTGGGCATGTGTTGACCATGATGATGTCTCGTCAGTGGTTTCGTTTCGGAGCGAAAAGTAGGTGACCCATCATCATTAAGCATCATCAATACAAAACAAAACAAAACAAAGCAATGAACTCCAAAGCTTTGCATTAGCAGCCGAGCATTAATGCTTGCAGCATTGCGAATAACAAGAGATCGTCAGCGCCAACAGCAGCTGCAACATTTGGAAAAGTGGCTGCGCACTGGCCCGCTCTGTGGCTAACACCTCGGCTGGCTAGTTGGCGTGTGGCTGGTGGTAGACATGATTTTCGAAATGCGTGCATCAGCCCAACAACATTCGTTTCGATATCACCAATCGGCACTCAGCAGTAGTCAGCACATCAAAAGCACATCTTAGAGTCCATCACAGCATGACGGGGCAGACATTCCATAAAACACAATGGCATGGCAAGCGTCTCAGTGGTATTATCAGCCAGCTGTTGCTTTGCTAAAGATGTTGCAGCTTCTGTTGTTGTTGCTGTTATTGTTATTGTTACAATACTTTTCCTGGCTCCGGCTGCCAACTTACGAAAGCGTTTCTTTGGCTAGCCGTTGGCACTTGCGCCACTTTTACTTAATGAGAATGCGAATGGCATTGCAAGTAGTAGCAAAAGCAACAACAACAACAGCGACAGCGTTGAACAATAAACGTGATATAAAGGACACGGTCGTCGTAATATACAAACATCCATATCTTTGTGTGTGTAAGCATTCATGTTTGGAAAAAGTTGAGAATAAGCAGAAATCATAAGCATAAAACCAGTCTATAACTCACTTACTTTCATACCAATTCAAAGTAATTAGCACATTAACGCATTGCGCTGGAGCATAGTAGACGATTTACAGTAGTGCATCGCTAAAGAGTGCCATCTCGGGTTGGACCATGCTCTTAATATCATGCAAAACTATGATGGACACTACATTTACGGACTCGTCCTCGACAGAAAACTCACAAACAAATAATTTTGGAAAAAAAGCAGGAAAGATGTTTTCTATTCACTTTATGAAATTTCTTTTTTTTTGAATTTTTTATTTAATTAAATTCTTAATTTTTTGTTTGTTTTTAATTTAATTAAATGTATTTAATTTAATTTTATTTAATTTGATATCATTTAATTTAGTTTAATTCCATTTAATTAATTTCACTTCATTTAATTTAATTTTATTTTACTGAATTTTATTTTGTTTCATTTTTTTTTATTTTACTTTATTTTATTTTATTTTATTTTATTTTATTTTATTTTATTTTATTTTATTTTATTTTATTTTATTTTATTTTATTTTATTTTATTTTATTTTATTTTATTTTATTTTATTTTATTTTATTTTATTTTATTTTATTTTATTTTATTTTATTTTATTTTATTTTATTTTATTTTATTTTATTTTATTTTATTTTATTTTATTNTATTTTATGTTATTTTATTTTATTATAGTTTATTTTAATATATACATTTTTTATTTCATATAATTAATTTTAATTTATTTTTCTTTATTTTAATTTTTTTTGGTTCAATTCATTTCATTATATTTTGTTCTGTATTTTTAAATTTTATTTCAAAGTTTTGTATTTTGTTTTATTTGTTTTTTATGTTATAATTTTTATTTTTTTATTTTTATTTCGTTTTTTTTTTATTTTTAATTTTGTTTTATTTGATTTCATTTTATTTTACGTTTTTGAAATTCTGAATTCATATGATTTGAACATCTTCCTTTTTAATTATTATGTGAATATTTTTATAAATTAAATTAAAAAATCTTTCCATTAAAAACATTAAGCATTTTTATTCCACACCGTTGAGGAACATTTAATTTTTGGGCGGACTCTGTATGGTTTAATAAAATATAATATAATTTAATATATATTCTAAATTTTCTTTCCTCATACTAATCGTTCAATTTCTATTGTTCTCTCTCCTCCTCTACTCCTTGCAGATTGACGATGCCGCCATACAAGTGTACAAAGATGGTGATTATGGCGCTTATTTGGATTTGGAGTCCTCACTTGCTGAGCAGGCTGAGGAAATTGAAGGTCTTAATTCTAGGTGAGTTGGGCTAAAGCTAATTTTTCTTGATTAGCTAACTAAAAAATCTTGCTTAACCAAACAATTACTGTCAGTTTGACCGCAAATGTGGAATCTTAAGCAATTTCAGTCCTTTGTTTTGTAACATTTAATATTTGACTTAATTTCTTGAAAATATTCAACTCACAAATGAGCATTCATGTTGGCTTCCGTTTTATTCATGAGCTACGACTTTTCTTGCTGATGTTGTTGTTGTTGTTGTGTAATTTGAGCTTTACCTATTTCACACCTACGCCACGAGTCTTTCGTGAAAGTTAAGTCATTTGTAACGTTCTTGTGGCACAACAACAAAAACAACTACCACAAAAACAACAACAACGACAATGCATCGAAATTATGAATAAATTTTTTCTAATAAAAACACTTAATTGGGAGTATATATTACTCATCAGCACTTCAGTTCTTATAGTATATACTATACTGTGTGTGCCTGTATGTGTGGGTGAAGTTGATTTTTTAATGAATTTATGAATTGTTTTTACTGTTTCTTTTTGTAAATAATATCAACATGAGGTTTTTGAGTGTTTGTAAATATTATATCTTGACCTGTCAGCATTTGCAACCGCAATTTATTTATTTCTTTTGATTTCTTATTGTTTTTAAAGAATTTTGCAAAGAGCTTTTGCTAAGCGTGTGAGACTACTCAAATATAATATATATATATATATGTAGGCATATATATTTTTCCATAAGCTTGATCTTATAAACTCTCAGTTCAACCTTCAGACACACGCATGGCTGCAGATTATAGTCGAACGTTTAGAGAAAAGTTTTCCAAATATCTTCCAATAGCGTTTCTACATGCCAAAAACTCTGAAATGACTGGCTAAATAACTTTCGCTTGAGAAAATCTTCAGAGCATTCGCTTTAAGCTTATTTTGAAGGTGGAAATATGTAGATTTGTCTTTGAATTCCACACTAAAAATGCCCGCTTTTGAATTATCTGGAAATTAAGTGGTAATTCAGTGAAAAGATACCTTGAATGATGACTCAAAAGTGCCCATTTCGTCGAAATGTTGAGTCCATGGTTAGCTTCAAGAACCGTACAATATTTCTGCAATGTTTTATCGCTTACAATGTACCCCTTAACTTCTATCTTCACATCAGAACAGTAGTATTGAAATCCTTAATTAGCAAGTTTATTCCCATAAGATATCTCCGAAGCGATTCTTAGTTAAAGTTTGATTCCTTTATCTAGNTCTTTGAATTCCACACTAAAAATGCCCGCTTTTGAATTATCTGGAAATTAAGTGGTGATTCAGTGAAAATATACCTTGAATGATGACTCAAAAGTGCCCATTTCGTCGAAATGTTGAGTCCATGGTTAGCTTCAAGAACCGTACAATATTTCTGCGCTGATTCTGATTTAGGGTTTACAATGCACCCCAAGCTTAACTACTATCTTCACGTCAAAAAAACAATCTTAAAATCCTTAATTAGCAAGTTTATTCCCATAAGATATCTCCGAAGCGATTCTTAGTTAAAGTTTGATTCCTTTATCTAGTTACTGAGTTCATGCAAGTCTTTAAGAAAAACTAGACAAACTTCTTAATGGATCAATTAGTAGTTCAATGCTCTTGGCTGAGATAAACTCCAGTGTTCCAACTTGTACGCCTGGGTGCTTTAGGCCTTACTTTTATAGTCATGTAAGAAAAAAATGAACTAAATTAAATTTTTCGCCAATTTCACTTCAGCTGCTGGTAAGACATTCCCCAGACGCTTGTTTTTCATAACTCGGCAAATTCGGATGAAAAGTATGGGTTTATTATTATTATTGCAAAGATATATTAGGTCATGGAGCATCAAGCTTATATTTAGACCAATTCTTCGCCAGTCAAATATTTCACCACTCAAGTCTCATAAGATAACATGAACAGCAACAGCACTTGGTGCGAGCTCTGCTCTATAAGTTGGATGGATAACAATCCCCCAACCAAGCTCTCGAAGCTTCTGGCGAGTCGCTATTGATGTCTGTCTTTTGGCGTTGTCCTGATAAAACACAATTCCTATTCTACTGATAATAGCTGGTCGCTTCTAGGCGATTGTTACTTTCAGACGGTGCAATCGCTGCTAGTGCAGGACTGAGTTAAGAGTTTTGACATAGGAGAGCAAATAATAATGAATGATTCCTTGCTAATCCCCCAAAATGCTCAACGCAACCTTCCTGATTGTCAATCCTGTTATGGAACCCGTTTTTGCCGGCTAACTGCGCTTCCACCAGGACCGTATTCGTTTGATGTTGGTTTAAGTTATACACTTTACATCACATCAGAAATGGGTCGATTTTATTAGATGAAGTTCTTCCTCGTTAACGGATGTGTCAGCTCTACATCGAGCTTTTTTTGTATGCAGCTTTTTTCAAGTCGTTAGATATTGTTTGTTGTGAAAGGTTTAGCTCCTGAATCAGATTAGACGATTTCCATTATTTTAAAGACATTTTCGACAGTTGGCCTCCCGCGGCGTGGAGCTTCTTTTATACCAAAATTACCGGAACAAAATCGACAAAACCAAAACTTAGCTTAATTGACTGTTACAGTATTAGGGCCATAATAATTATTTATATATATACAGCTTCCTGACTTCTGTTTTCGCCTTTATCGAGAAAAATTTTCAGAATATAACGTATTTTCTCTTTAATGCGTTCCGTCTTTGAAATGCGCTGAAACTCTACTCTACTAAGCGTAATCCAATCGTTCTTATAGAATGCGACGTATACTGTAAAAATAATGGTTGACTTATAATTAATTGTAATTAAAAAAGTTAATCTAAGATTGATGCTCAATTAAAAGCTGTTCACACAGGCACTCAATTAGTTAAATTTACTTAGTTTGAGTAATGAGAAACTTGCGAAAATAGAAACTTTATAACGACGATTGGCTATCAGTAAATTTTTTAGCAGCAAATCATGTAAAGCATGTTTAATAAGAAGCTAAAAAGGTGTCTTCTGTGAGTAAAAAAATTTTTACAAAAACAAAACTTCAAATAGTAAAAGTTTGAAAAGTAAATATAAATAACATTTCAACCGAAATGTCATTTAATGCTCAATTCATAAGATAAAAATGTGGTACGTACCAACTAAGAATCGACATTGAATTTCTTCCTTAATAAATTACCATACTCTTTTGTGAGAAAATCTTAATTTACGCTCAAGTTAAATAGAAATAGTAAGAGAGCTGTCAAAAAAAAAAAAATATATATAAATTTTTTAACTTAATTGAGTACCTTTGTGAACACCATTTAAAACTTGATTGTCACAAGCTCGTGCTTATCGTAGGCATATTCACTGCTAGCAAATAAAATAATTAAAGAAAAAGAGTGCTAAACTTTCAATCAAAACAAAGATATTCACTTTCCTGGAAGCGATGACATTTGACTACTCAATGAGCCCCTTTCGCCAGCCTCCCCTCCACAAATAATGCTCTCATGAATATTAAATAAAAAAATCTATACATGTGTACGTGCGCATGAGCAAATGAATATTCACACAAATTACGGAGAAACTCAGGCCACTTGAGATTTAAAAATCAGCTGAACGACTTTAGACAGCTTGGCTACAACAACACACATACATACATACATACACGTATGCATAGGTATAGCTTGTTTAGCCGCTGATAAGACTTTATTAGTCAAAAAAAAAGCGCAAAGAAAAAGTCGCAAATTTTTTGCAAAATTTATTTATAATAAAACGCACACTTGTATGTACATAGGTGTATATATATTTGTACATACAGACATTTAGTGCGAATAATCTAATTTTATGCAGTGACGCCAAAGCCAAGCAATTTTAGATAAGAACAAGAAGTTACCTTGGCCGCAATGACAATGATTCAAAACGCTTTTATGATGAATTTTCGAATTCACATTTTAGATTTGGTTCACCTTTGGGACGCAAACAACAACAGTTTCACTGCTATCAGCTTTTTGATTATATTTTGCTTATCATTTGATTATGTGTGTGTGTGTATATGTGCAGCGGTAAGCCGGCCATGGCGTCTGGTGGCCAAGTTAGAAAGTGTGCATTGAATAAAATTAAAAAATACAACAACAAAAAGTAAGTAAAATAAAAAAATATATATATATTTATTGTTCATCGCCAGCAGCTATGCGGTGAATGTGCGCAGTTATCAAGTTGGCGAATTTTATTTATTTCATTCACTTTATTATTATTATTCATTTATTTATTTTTTTTTCATGCTTTTCTACAGTAATTTTCGAAGAAAGTCATGGCTAACGCGTATCTACATACAAATCTACGTACTTTTTGTAGTTGCTTGTTGGTGCAGCTTCTCAGCTTCTCGGCTTCTATGAAGCACCGCCGTCATTGGTGGTTGTTGTTGGTAGTGGCTCTTGTTTTCACGTGGGTTACCTCAACAGGTTTGCATTCCTGTCCGATCATTTGTTGTTTTTAGTCGCAATAGCCGGGTAGTCATCATTTAGAAGACCAGGGCTGAAGTCCTGGTTCGGCCATTATCCACAATTATTTTTTCTCATGGCGGCCGCTCCTCGTTAGGGAATTTCTAGTTCTTAGAGTGTGTTTTGGACTCGAAACTCAAAGGTTCTTATAAAAACTCATAAGCCTTTCGGAGGTGGCTTAGTGTAATCTGTAGATATCTCCATTTTTTAGAAAAACATCATGACGTGTACCACGTATTTTAAGGTTCTCCATAGGCGAACCCAGGAACGTAATACTCACAGGAACCATCGTCCGGAGCAGCGAGGATGTGTTGCTTCCTAAAAAAGAAGCAAACTCTATCTTAAAACGTGAACTCCTCCCCCGGTGGTTAATACTCTATAGAATACTATTCCGGCGATCTTCTCGTCTAGCTTCAATTTATTCGTATAGAAGCTAAGTAGTTCTGTCCCACAGCCGACCAGCCCTTCCGTGATATTGGTGGATAAGGAACTATTCTATACACTAATGCATGCAGATGGAAATAGAGCTCTTAAAGAACAGCAGA